CATTGGCAGTGGAGAGGAAGGATTGAAAGTGTCTGTCAAAAGAGGTAAGTACCTATCAGCAATACATTTTCAGTGTAAAAAAGTGTTACCTCCTCTAACACAAAGCTAGAATCCTACATTGAAATGGTTGAAGGACCAGTGTAGGCACCTAACACTGAAATCAAGTGGAAAGCAATTGTCTAGAAATAACTGGTATGCTAAGAAATGAAAGTGAAAAACACCTGTGGGGCACCACACTATTTCTGGAGCAGGTATGCTTTTTGCTCTGGAAGAAGGAAATGAACCTAACATGGGCAGAAAAAAAGGATTTGTATATGCTTAATACATTCTGAGAAGTGCAATCCATATGATAAAGTGGAGCGAGTTCAAATCGTCTACCATCACATAAACCAGATAGATCTCGTAGGTGAAGAGCCGCTCTATGAAACTAATACCTGAAGTGAACTCAATACCCACACGAGGAGAAACAGGAAGTAAAGGGACAGTTTGCCGAAATATGACAATGAAGAAAAATAACTAGCCTTGGCAATTGATCTACTCAACCTCAACCAAACAGACAAGGTTCCACAACCTGTCCTTGGCATTAGGATGCTGAGAGTCACCCAGATAAAAACAAATTAGATTAACATAAACATTGTGGCTAGGACGACATGTGATATATATACACCAACCCCAACCATAAGTATACAGAATGTCATACCTCAAGCAACTGGAATTACAAAACCATTGTAGGAGCAAGAAATACAACAAACCAAACCCAGCATTACGGGGTCGTGTTGTTGCCTTAACTCAACTGTAAGAATAGGGCAATACCTGTAACTGGTATTAAAAGCAGAAATCATAACTTACTCAACCGTAAATTCAGGAAAGACACATCATGCAACAAAAATTACGAGGAGGATGTGGAACATTTGCTCCTACAGTTGAGCAAATGTTCCACAGAAAGGAGGCCTCTACTGCACTCAACCATGGGAACAGGGTGGTGTCATCCTGAACTCAGTATAACACTGAGTGGATAAATACATGGTTGTATTGCAAGATTAATTTCTACTTAATACTCAGAAGGAATCATCCTTGGTGTACCACCCCAGTGACTAAGAACTGGTAAGGACTTCTGTCTTAACTTGAAGAAAAAAAGGGGGGAACCAAATGTGGTGGGGAGTCTGGAGGAACATCACATTGAAGACAGTGCAATGGGTATCCACAATTCCCTATTTTGGAAAGCAGACCATCACTGATTTATGCAATCAAAGAGTCAGCAGGGTTTGGCAGAAATTACCTTCTGCTTTACTCAGGAAAGTCCATCACTGAGTGAAAATTACGGATATTGAGAGACACATACATACCATTAGTGGAGAACACTACATCTCTACAGTAAGCATTATAGTTCTACTGGTATATAGTGCAGGTTTGATATAAAGTATACCTGACCAGGCAAAGTGTGGGATTCCATAAACAGTGGTAAGAGAAGGTTCCTGAAAAGAAAACATAAAAGAAATTTTGTGCAAAGACTTACCCCAGTCAAAGGTGAAAGGACGTGTGTAGAATCACTTGAGAAAGATACAGCCTGATCATGCAGATAATGAACTAAAAAGATATTGGGAGTAGTTTACATTCTGGCCTGAACAATTTCTTCCAACAGATGTCGAAGACAAGCAGTCAAAGACATGGTGACATGATGAATTTGATGAGAAAAAACATTGTGGAGATGGAGACTTTCCATGGATAAGTGAATATGACAGCCCAAGCAGTTGACAAGTCCAACCAGTAAGTGTGAGAGGAGATTGACCACAGGAAACATAGGGGTTACAGGGAATAAAAAATTGGGAATGTGAAACCCGAAAGAAGGCAATACATGCCATATAACACCATAACGAGTGAACTGGACAAAGAAGCTGATCAGGATTGGAATGGGAGTACAGGTGGGAGAGGGAAGGTAAAGAAATGGGTGTGAAAGTCAAACTGCCTTCATGGTCAGCAAAAGTACTAGGGAGGAAGGACCAGTCTTTATATAGGATGACATATGAGGAATGGTAAAGAATTCTGTTCACATTATTGGCATTAATATCTGATTGATGGCATCTGCAAGCTAGGAGGAGAAAGAAATAGTTCTTGAGGGAGAGATGGTAGATGGAACATATCAACAAAGGTTCAAAAGGAGGATGGGAAAGGGTATAAATGACCACATTGAGATGCCAGTCAGGCAATTCAAAGGAACACAGAGGATGCAGGACACGAAAGGAGCAGAAATGAATGGAAATGACAAAACCTTATGAAACTTGGAGAAATGAAAGGTGTTTGAGCCACCCAATAGCTAGACACGGTTGAAGTGGACAGGCCTTTGTCAAAAAACCAGGTGAAGAATTGGAAAAGATAAGAAAGTGCTGGAACCATGGAAGGTAGACCATCACTTTCGATAAATTGACATGGAAGGTCTTATGGATCAGGAAAAGAAAGATTCAATGTATGAAGTCAGCCCCTCAGATGAGGTAAGAGATCTGACAAAAGCCATGCATGAAGATGGAGATTGATGATGTCTGGATGAATGATGTTTGACCGAGGTTGACAGAGTAGGGTCCATAACAGAGGTAAGGGTAAGGGAGGGTACTCAAGTAAAGGTCGGAGTTATGGGAACCAAGGTTGCACTGGCCAAAATGGAGCCACCAGGAGGACTAGACATGGAGTGGTTTGAATTAGGGATATAATTCCGAGGAGGAGGAGTCAAATAGGAGAGTAAGCATAGATGTGAAGACCCCTCCAATCTTGACTGAATGCATCCACCCCCAGAGGTAATGGGTGTGGAATGAGAGACCAAAAGAAAAGACATTTGTTGTTCCAATGAATGGCAAGAGCATCAATATGAAGTGTTGCCAAATATGAAAACACCCACCGAAAGACCTGTGGATCAAGAGACCACTCTGTGGAGTTGTTAGAGTGTTTCATAACCACCCTCCCCCACAGGGGAAGAAGAAAGTGGAACGTAGCTCAATGACCCACGATAAGTTCGAGAATGTTGGTATGGAGAGAAGACTCTGTGACTGACCAAAGACCAGAAATCACCTGGGAGTTGAAGTAAGCACCCCAAACCTGTATAGATGTATCCATGAACAGATGTAAATCTGGACGAGGTGGAGGAAGCAGAACCCTCACCATGATCTGTTTTCTGTCCAACCACCATGCAAGGGCAGCCCCGATTGTGGAAGGCAAAATGGTAGTCCAAGGGATCTGAGGGAAATTTCCACTGAAGGGAACACATTTGAGTCTGATCCATGGGAATGAGAGCTTCCAAGGAAGTTCACATCCCCATAGAGAGAAAACCTCATGAGTTGTTTGAGAATATGAAGTGAGGGTCTTGTGCACTGCTTGCTCCATATCCCAGAGACGAAGAGGAGAAAGCTTGCCCCAATTTGAGGTGGGAAGAAAACCATAATATGAATGAGGTATTGAGTTTGGGTAAGAACATAATTTTCCACTTTTATCAGGAATCCCACCTATGCTGCTTCATGGAACAGACAAGTGTGGTCCTTGGACTGTGAATGGGAAGAAGTGAGCAGGAGACAGTCATCCATGTAATGATGAGTGCAAGGACCCAATGAGTGAAGATGTTGGGAAAAAGTTTGTACCACCCGACAAAACACATAAGGAGCCAGGGTTAGTCCAAATGGTAGTGCCCGAAACTGAAACATTCGTCCCTCATGGACAAAAAGAAGAAAACGATGTGACTCGGGAGCAATAGGGATGTAAAGAAATGCATCTGTTACATCAAATTTGGTCATCCAGAGTCCCGGGGAAAACACCCACCGAAGTGAGAGATATGACTCCATAGTGAAACGAGGGGAATCCAAAAAGGAATTCAACTGGAATAGACTGATGATAGGTTTCAAATTTCCTGTCTTCTTGGGGACCAGAAAGAGATGGGAATAAACCCCCAGTTGCATGGAGCACACCTGTTCGATAGCTTCTTTGTGAAGCAGAGTTGTGGACCTCCTTGATAAAGCAACTGAGAGATGTAGGACCCCATGGAGATGGGAAGGAAATAGGGGAGGTGGAAACTTGAACTGAAGGCAGAGACCCCCAGATAGAACCTGTAGAACCCCCAGATCTGTCACGAAATGCCTCCACACTGCAGAAAAGTGGTGCAATCTGGCCCCCACTAGTCCTGAACCTATGGAGTCACCAATACCATTACTTAGCCCAGTAACGAGAAAAATGAAGACAGAATCGGGAGTTTCATGAGGAAGTTAAAGGTCTGAGTGAGTAAGGTAGAGGTCAGGAAACAAGGACGAGTGCTTCCTGGGAGGAAACGGAGGTTGAGATAATTGTGTGGCCAGAAGACAAAGATGATTACAACCTAGCCACATCAACCCTGGACTCCAAAGAATCTGGAAGACCTCCAAATATGATATTGCATAAGAAAGGGGTCTGATGCAGATCCTGCAGAATTTGAATGGGGGATGCACCCCCACAAGTAATGCATCTCTCCCCAACATGTCCCTAAAGCACAGTAGCTGGGTATTAACTCTTTCAACCCTTTCTAGAATGAGCTCAAATTATAACACGTAAACATAAATGTTTAGACGAAATAGCTTAAATCTCATAAGATTATACATTTATGTATATTTATTTTTATTATATTGACTTTTCACCCGTGCCTGGCTAACAATACAAAAGTTACGATGACACAGCTCGCATGTACTCATGTTACCATATCAAATAACATAAAGGTGACTTTTTGTCTGTACAAATAACTTGTTTTGGCTGTGTTTTAGTTGACTAGTATTTTGTAAAATACAGTCACATTTCAATAATTATACATCATATATGTATATAGATTATTGCTATTTTGAAATAAGTTCTTAAAGTTATTTTTCCTAAAACATAAAACAGTAAATAAATAAGTAAAGCAAACAATTATCTCTTCTAGTAACGACCTTTGTACTCAGTTGCTGCTTGACTTAGGTTGCTAAGCTTTTAGAAATTTTGCTCATGGAGGATATGAAACAAAA